TATCGGATTTGATTCCCAGTCAGGGCACACACCTCAGTTGTATGTCTCCCAGCTTCCGGTGGGAGGCAACCAATGTGTCTCACATGGATATCTCTCTCTCTCTCTCTCTCTCTCTCTCTCTCTCTCTCTCTCTCTCTCTCTCTCCCTCCCTCCCTCCCTCCCTCCCTCCCTCCCTCCCTCCCTCCCTCCCTCTTCCTCTTCCTCTTCCTCTTCCTCTTCCTCCTCCCTTCCACTCTCCAGAAATTAATGGGGAAAATATCCTCAGGTGAGGATTTTTTAAAAAGTATGATTGGAGTATAAAACTCTACAAGGGCAGAAAAATAATTGTTTCATTGTGTCTAGTAGAGTGCTTTACATCTTAATATTTGCATAGATGGAGGGTTGGGCGAGTGAATGATGAGTGGGTGGATGGAGTAAGTTTTCTGAACTGGAAGGGACCTTGGAAGTCATTTAGCCCAAACTATTCTTTTTATAGATGAGGTAAATAGGGTCCATATTAGTAACACATTTTAAACAAAACATTGGTATTTTATATTGTGACTCCAGAGTTAATACCTTTTTAACTGTATGTGTAATTGTCACCTTTTTAACTTGCTTTGACTATTTTAGTTAAAATTTTATCTATTGATATTCAATGTCTCCTTTTCAGATTCCATATTATTCCCTTACTAGAGGCCTGGTGTATGAAAATTCATGCATTGGAGGGGGTTCCCTCAGCCCGGCCTGCCCCTTCTCACAGTCTGGGAGCTCTCAGGGGTCGCAGGCGACCCAGGCAACCAGAGGAAGGCGACGCCCCCATCACACCTTTTCTGCTGCCACTGCCAGCAGCACAAGCCTAGGCCAGCCCTAGTTACCTGAGCCTCAGGTCAGCCCTAAGTGGCTGGGCAGCATCCAGGCCTTGCCTGTGCCTAAGGCCAACCCTGGGCAGCTGGGCAACCACCATCTGAGACTTGCTAGCACCTTGGCTGGCCCTGCTTGCCTGAGCCTCAGTCAGTGGGGGGGGGAGAGGGGAGGGGGGAGTTCAGGAGAACCTGAGGCCCCTGGTGGGGTTAAGAGGACTCCAGTGGCAGGCATGTGGAGCGGGTGACCCCAGCTGAGGAATGGAAGATGATCTCAGTGACATGAGTTATAACTTCCAATTTGTTGGACGCCACAGTCAGGCTTCAGCTTCGGGGGAGGGAGGAAGAGATGGATGGGCAGCTCGTTGGAGAAGCCTGAGCGAGCTGTCAGTTAATTGGGGTTGCAGGAGGACCCGAGGCCACTCTGTGAGCCTGCTGCCCCCCAGTGGGGCTGAAGGGACTCCGGTGGCAGGCACACAGAGCTGTTAGCCCCACCCCCATTGTGTGAACCACCATCTTGTGATGGTGTGATGATCAATTTGCATGTTACCTACGTAATTTATTATATAAGATTCCTGTATTAATAGATGGGAGTTTTTATTATGGGTTAGTGAAAGGCTTAGGACCAAATTATTATCCAAGTTTATTATTTAAATATGTCTTTTACTGGAAAATTAATCCTAAATTTTAAGTGATTTAGAATATAGTCATGTGCCACTTAGCAACAGGAACATGTTCTGAGAAATGTGTCATTGGACAATTTTGTCGTACAAAGTTGTACTTACACAAACCTAGATGGTTTAGCCTACTTACACACATAGGCTATCTAACCTAATAATAGAGTAATATGCAAATTAACCATCACTCTGCTATACAAGCCATGCCCACCAGCCAATCAGGATGAGTGTGCAAATTAACCCAACCCCGATGGTGGCTAATTTGCATATCAAGACAGCCTAGAAAGAAGCCAAGCCTGCAGAAGGGAGTGAAGCTGTGGAGAAGCAAGCAGGGCGGCGGCGAAGAGAGGAAAGCAGGCGGGGCAGAGACCGCAGCAGGAAGCCCTATTGCAGGAATCTTCCTGCATTGGCCACTAGTGTGCTCTCACCTCTTATTCCTAGGCTACAAACATGTACAGCATGTTATTACACAAAACAACACGATTAAATCAAGCACAAGAGAAATGATACAATCAAGAGATGTGAAAGCAAAATGTCTGAGGCTGCTGGCATAATACAGCACAGTTTTACAGTAAACTTTTTGTAAGTAGAAAGAGTACATTCTAAAATAAAAGTTCAGCATAATACATAAATGAATAACAGTTTATTATCATTATAAAGTATGTACTGTATGTTACATACTACATGTTACATTTTTATAAGACTCCAGTGCAGTAGGTTTGTTTTACACCAGAATTACTGCATTATGTTATGACATCACTGGGTGATAGGAAATTTTCATCTCCATTTTAATATGGGACCATCATCATATATATGATTCACCATTGACAGAAATATTCTTACATAGTGCTTGACTGTACTTTCTGTTTCTTGTTATCTTAAACATACTTTTGAGATAAATTCCTTTAAGGATTATTACATGATTGACTGTATTGAGGCTATTCCTAGGAAAATTAGAATTTTCATGAATTAAGAAAATCAGAAGTGAATAGGTACTTCTTTCACTGTCCCCTCCCTTCATGAGTTTCTCTATATTTATCCCCATCTTCTTTGAACATGCAGTGTTGGGAATTCATAACGGGTAACTTAATTCTACTTTGCTATTTTTACATTTACTAGTCTCTTGTTAACTCATCAGTGTTGCTTTGGTCAACCAAACACTCCTTTCTAGAGGAGACTCAGTTGCTAATACCTGAAAAGTCAGTGGATGTCTTGCCATCCAGAGTAATCTGAAAAGCTTCCAAGTAGATTAGATTAGATCTCTCATCACCATTTCCTAGTTCTCTGCAGTTCTTGCTGTACTTGCTTCACTGTCCAATTTGTCATACACATTGCTGCCAAATTAATCTTTTGTAGTAGTTCTAGGTTATCCTTGCTCAAAACACTTCTCTGATTATTCTTTGCCTCCCAAATGAAGTAATTATTTCATCATTCAAGCCTTTTAGTTCAGTAAATATAACCAAATACTTGCAATTGTGCTGGGTGTTGAGCTTGGTGCTTTCTGTGATGTTGAACCTAACCTATTGTGTCTTTTGCTCATCTTGGTTCTTGTCCTTGAAATATTAGTATTCTTTCCCTCCCCCGCCCCCATCCTCCAATTTCTTTAAGACCCAGAGAGCCTATCTATTATTTCAGAGCCATTTCTCAGTATCACATCCATTATAAAGTGACTCCTAATTTTTTTCCCTTCTTACCCTTATTTCAGCAGAATGTAATTTAAAAAAAATTATATAGTTATATAGTTATATATATATATATATATATATATATATATATATATATATATATATATATATATATATATTTTCTCCATAATGCTTTACTGGTCATTGTCTTATGTACTTTCTATTCTGTCTTACATTTGTTTATCTATTATCTCTCCTATTCAACTGTAAGGCCTTTTATTATATGATCAGTCTAATTGCTCTTTACTCTCTCACAGCACCTACATTGTTCCCTGGTACGTTTTATACTAAATATATGCCTAATTGGATATGTATCTTATATCTAGAAGGTTAACCTTTATTTTCAGGATTTTGAATGAAAAGGCTAATTATGTTAACTGATTTAATTTTGTTTTGTTAAACATTGAAAGCTGGATATAATTCATCAGTTTTAAAAACATAAAATCATGCACTGGCCTGTTTGGCTCAGTGGATAGAGCATCGACCCATGAACTGAAGGGTCCTGGGTTCAATTCCAATTAAAAGCATGTACCTTGGTTGCAGACTCTATCTCTGGCCCCAGGCAGGCATCTGTGGGAGGCAACCTATGTTGTATTTCCCTCACATCTGTATTTGTCTGTGTTTCTCCCCCTCTTCACCCTCTCTAAAAAAATCAATGGGAAAATATTCTTGGTTGAGGATTAACGTGTGTGTGTGTGTGTGTGTGTGTGTGTATACACACATATATAAAAAGGTATTATGCTGCTAAAACTGGTTTGGCTCAGTGGATAGGGCATCGGCCTGCGTACTGAAAAATCCCAGGTTCGATTCCTGTCAAGGGCATGTACCTTTGTTGCAGGCACATCCTCTGTAGGGGGTGTGCACATTCCCAGTAGGGGGTGTGCAAGAGGCAGCTGATTGATGATTCTCTCTCATGGATGTTTCTAACTCTCTATCCCTCTCTCTTCCTCTCTGTAAAAAATCAATAAAATATATATATTTTTAAAAAGGGATAATATGCTAATTAGACTAGATAGACCGGACATCTTTTGGACAAAGCCGAAGTGGCTGCGAGGGCCGAGGAGGGCCAGCAGCTGTGGCAGCTGGCAGTGTCAGCAACTGGGTGGTGATGGAAGATCCTGATCTTCCTGGTTGCCTTCCGCAGAGGGAGGCCAGACTGTGGCTTAGACCTAAGCCATTAGTAGGACATCCCCTGAAGGCTCCCAGACTGTGAGAAGGGACAGGCTGGTCTAAGGAACCCCCCCTCCCCACCCCCCAGTACACAAATTTTTGTGCACAGGGCCTCTAAAATTTATATATATATATATATCTCACACACACACACACACACACAGGGCCTCTAAAATTTCACACACACACACACACACACACACACACACTCACACACACACACACACACTGAGTGGCCAGGTTATTATGATCTCTGAACGCATAATAATCTGACCACTCTGTGTGTGTGTGTGTTTTAGAGGCCCGGTGCATGAATTCATGCATGGGTGGGGCCCCGCCAGCCTGGCCAGGGGGAGTGGATATGGACAGTTGGCCAGCCTGTCTGCTAGTTGAACTCCTGATCAAGGGGACAATTTGCATATTAGCTTTTTATTGTATAGGATATACACTGAGTGTCCAAATTATTATGCGTTCAGAAATCATAATAAAAAAATTATATATTAATAATGGAGTTATAATTTTATTTAACATGCCATGTGACTTTTGTTGACAGGTGAGTTGTCTGACTGTGATTTTTTAAAGGGATATTAAATAAGTAATTTTAAGTAATTGACCTGTTTCTTTTTTAGCGCATTTGCACAGTATAACTTGGACCAGTTTACTCCAGTAAAAATTGAAGGTTATGAAGATCAGGTATGTTTCATATAAACATGTGATGATCTGGCTGTTCTTTGTTTCATTTACAGTGGTTAATATCCTGTAAGAATTGTGAAGTGATATAAAAAAAATTGTCCTAAGATTTTAGAAAATAATTGTTCTAAGTCTACTTTTTTGTTTTTAGAGCAAAAGCTTAACCCTATAGTAACCCAAAGCTTTTAATGTGTAAAGTTACTAAAATTTTAAAAACATGTTCAAGATAGGGACAGGGAAGACCATCCCTTCTATATAATAAAGCCCTAATGTGCAAATTGATCAACTGGTGGAACCAACGGTTGCTATGATGTGCCCTGACCACCTGGGGACAGACGCTCAATTCAGGAGGAGCACCACTCAGCCAAAATCTGGGCTCACAGCTGGCAAGCTCAGTGGCCTCTCCTGCCTCCACAGCAGCCCTAAGGACTCCTAAGGGTATCCTGGACTGCAAGAGGGCACAGGCCAGGCTGAGGGACCCCTCACCTCTACTCTTAAGACTGAAAACCCATAAACTATAAAAGAGAAGATGGGTATTTTGCTGATAATAATTATTTTAACCATAGAATAAAACAGATACCTTTTAAAAAGCACATCTATAAATTAATAAGAAAAAAGAAGAAAAATATTAAAGGATATTTGCTTACATAAGAGCAAATGGCCTCACTAAATGTCAAAAGATGTCTAGACCTGTCAGGAGTCAAAGAAATAAAGTAAGAGAGAGATTTTCTATCCATCAAACTGAAAAATAAAAGAACTGTATGCCTACTGATTATGATAATATGAAGGGAAACATATATCCTAATCTAATAAAAGAGTAATATGCAAATTGTCTCTCTAACTCAAAAGATGGCTGCCCCTATATGGTCAAAGATGGCATGTGGACACAAGATGGCCAGCAGGGGAGGGCAGTTGGGAGGGACCAGGCTTGCAAGGGAAGGCAGTTGGAGGCGATCAAGCCTGCAGGGGAGGGCAGTTAGGGGTGATCAGGCCTGCAGGGAAGGGCAGTTGGGGGGACCCAGGCCTGCAGGGGAGAGCGGATGGGGGAGACCAGGCCTGCAAGGGAGGGCAGTTAGGGGCAAAAAGGCTGGCAGGGGAGCAATCCTGGATTGTGAGAGGGATGTCTGACTGCCAGTTTAGGCCCAATTCTGGTGGTGGGATCGGCCTAAATGGGCAGTCGGACTTCCCTCAAGAGGTCCCAGATTGGAGAGGGTACAGGCTGGGCTGAGGGGACACACACACACCCGTGCCCGAATTTCATGCACCAGGCCTCTAATATTTCATAAAATGTGGTTTGTTACAATCATTAAAAAAAAACGTGCACACACACACACACACACACACACACACAAAGAAACACCTTTCACTATTCCCACTGTTGGGTATCTATCCAAGAGAAATAGAAGCATCTAGTGGAAGTAAAAATATCAGTGTGTAACAATATATGTATAGTAATACTTATTTCAATATTTTTAATGTCCCTTCACTTCCCCCAAAAAAGAAAACAGCCTGGAAATAAAGACTTGGCCCATTAATAGTAGAATGGCAGAATAAATTGTTATATCCACATCCTGGGATATTATGCAACCATTAAAAAGAATGGTCAGGTATACCAGTTTACTTTGAAGAATTTCCATAAGGTAGTCATGTTGAATAAAGTCAGATACAGAAAAATGTATGTGAGCATATATTTCATTCTATTCATATAAAACAATGACCAAAGAAAACCCTGTATGCATTTGTATGTAAACATAGATATGTATATATTTATCTATATATGATAGTAAGCTGTTCGTGGATCTGAAAAGAACCTGACTCCAACAATCAATACAAGAATACATTTTTTTTTAAACTGAGAGCTAGAAGTTATTAAATCAGATTCACTAATCCAAGATGAATGAGAGTAGCCTCATTGTCTTTTTAAAAATCTACTCATTTGAAATAGTTGTGCCATGTAGTTAAATCAGTTGTTTGGAATAGATCTATTTTATAGTTTTAAGGGAAAAGCTTAAGTGAATGTTTATTAATATATGTCAGTACTTAAATGGTATTTTAAAATTTTTATTTCTAGTGTTGAAAATATTACAGATGTCCTCCTTTTTTTCCCATTGACCCCTTAAAATCTAAATACTTTTTCCCCCAATATTTATTGTATCACTGAAGGTATTGATAACAGAACATGGCGACGTGGGAAATGGAAAGTTTTTGGATCCAAAAAATAGAATCTGTTTCAAATTTGATCACTTAAGAAAGGAAGCAACTGATCCACGACCGTATGAAGCAGAGAATGCAATTGAATCATGGAGAACTTCAGTAGAAACTGCTCTGCGAGCTTATGTAAAAGAACATTATCCGAATGGGGTCTGCACTGTAAGTCATCAGTGAAAGTCACCATTTTCTTTTGACTTTTAACAGTGTTTTTATGGTCTCTTGAATTTTACAGTAACTTATAAAACTCGTCATTCTTTTCTTTTTCTTGAAGTAAATATTTTCAAGAATATTCACTAATTTTTTTTTTTTTTATCAAGAAATTCTAAATAGTGTCTTAACCAGTTTGGCTTAGTGGCTAGATCATCAGCCTATGGACTGAAGGGTCCCAAGTTCAAGGGCATGTACCTTTGTTGCAGGCACTTCCCCAGTGGGAGTTGTGCAGGAGGCAGTTGATGATATTTCTCTACCATTGATGTTTCTCTCTATTCCTCTCCCTTCCTCTCTTTAAAAAATCAATAAAATATATTTTTTTAAAAAGAAGAAGAAGTTGTTTCCTGGTTAAGACAAAAACTCATATGGTCCCCTTAAGTTTCTAGTGCTCAATAATTATTAGAGAAATATAGCCTAACCTAAAATATCGTATACGGTTTTTTGAATTATGACCTTGTAGATTAGAATTATTTGGAAGAATAACCCAAAAATAAGGTGGTTAAATTTGAGAGAGTTGAATTAGAGAGTCCTCATTTGTCCCAGGGAATTGAAAAGCACAATTTAAACATTACTTCTAAAGCAGTAGGCAAGAGGTAAAATAACGTCTTCATACCATCTTAAAAATCTTCCTTAGTTATAAGTAAATTTCTCCTCTCTTCCTGAATACTTTTTTAAATGACTAGAGAAATTCTAATCACTAAGATTGTGAAGTAAACAAAGATGATAATCACAATCTAGGTCTAGTTTTTATTTGTATGGAAACAGCCATATTGATATCTGCATGTTCATACTTCTCCTGATACTAGTGTTTGGAATGAAAAATATGGTTATCTAGAATATTTATGACTATTTTAGAGTACAGTCAGTTTTAACTCAGTAAATTGCAATGTTATTAATTTTGAGTTCTTTTATGATCCACAAAGACACTCTGGTTAAGTGTTCATATTTGAGTATTATATGTTTCTTCCAAAGACACATTTTTTAATATCTTGTAGATGTTTAAAATTGAACTTTCTATAGTCCTGAATTCACTCTTATATTTGTTTTCTTTGCCATCAAGGTATATGGTAAAAAAATAGATGGACAGCAAACCATTATTGCATGTATAGAAAGCCATCAGTTCCAAGCAAAAAACTTTTGGTAAGTTAAAATTTTGGTGCGTTGGAGAATTTTGACATTGTTTATATTCTTTGTAAAAAGTTCTTACTTTATTGATTGGGCCTATATCTTGCTTGTATGATTGACTAAGAGCAATCTAAACATAATATAAAACTTCAGCCTTTTTATGACCCAGAGATCCCACTTTTGGGTATTTATTTAATAAAAGAGTAATATGCAAATTGACCATCATTCTAACACACAAGATAGCTGCCCCCATGTGGTCAAAGATGGCTGCCCCCATGTGGACACAAGCTGGCCACCACAAGATGTCCAGCAGGGGAGGGCAGTTCGGAGGGACCAAGCTTGCAAGGGAGGGCCGTTGGAGGTGATCAAGCCTGCAGGGGAGGGCAGTTAGGGGTGACCAGGCTGGCAGAGGAGGGAAGTTGGGGGCAACCGGGCCTGCAGGGGAAGGCATTTGGGGGGTACCCAGGCCTGCAGGGGAGGGCAGTTAGGGGTGACCAGGCCTGCAGGGGAAGGCATTTAGGGGCAAAAAGGCTGGCAGGGGAGCAGTTAGGCATCAATCGGGCTGGCAGGGGAGTGGTTGGGGGGTAATCAGGAAGGCAGGCAGGCAAAGCAGTTGGGAGCCAGCAGTCCTGGATTGTGAAAGAGATGTCCCAGATTTGAGAGGGTGCAGGCTGGGCTGAAGAACACACATCCCTGTGCATGAATTTCATGCACTGGGCCTCTAGTATATCTAAAAAAACCCAAAACACTAATTTGAAAGAATATATGCATCCCTATGTTTATTGCAGTATTATATACAACAGTTAAGATATGGAGGCAATTCAGTTGTCCATCAACAAATGATTGGATAAAGAAGTGTACATATATACAAGAGAATATTACTCGGCCATTAAAAAAGAATGAAATCTTACTGTTTGCAATAGCATGGGTGCACATGGAGGGTATTATGCTCAGTGCAATAGCAGTCAGAGAAAAACAAATGCCTATGATTTTACTTGTATATGGAATCTGAAGAACAAAATTAATAAAATTGAAATGGACTCATAGACACAGAGAGCAAACTGGTTGTTGTCAGAAGGGAGAGGCTTGGAGGACTAGGTGAGAGAGGTGAAGGGATTAACAAATATAAATTGGTAGTTAAAATTGTTGTAACTAGAGTGTAAGGAATATAATTAATAGTATTAGTATTGTGATTACTATGGTCCTATTTGGGGTACTGGAAATACTGAGAGGAACATTTTGTAAGGTATGATTGTCTAACCACTAAGCTGTACACCTGAAACCAATACAGAATAAAATTGGGGCGGAAACCAGTTTGACTCAGTGGATAGAACGTTAGCCTGCAGACTGAAAGGTCCCAGGTTCGATTCCAGTTAAGGGCATGTACCTTGGTTGCAGGCGCATCCCCAGTGGGGGTTGTGCCGAAGGCAGCTGATCGATGATTCTCTCTCATCGATGTTTCTAACTCTATTCTTCTCCCTTCCTCTCTGTGAAAAATCAATAAAATATGTATTTAAAAAATAATAATAATAAAATAAATAAATAAAATTGGGGGGAAAGCCAAAGCCGGCTTGGCTCAGGGGATAGAGCGTCGGCCTGCGGACTGAAGAGTCCCAGGTTCGATTCTGGTCAAGGGCATGTATCTTGGTTGTGGGCACATCCCCAGTGGGGACTGTGCAGGAGGCAGCTGATAGATGATTCTCTCTCATTGATGTTTCTAACTTTCTATCCCTCTCTCTTCCTCCTGTAAAAAAATCAATAAAATATATATATATTTTTTTAATTGGGGGGAAAACCTTCAGCCTTTTGATACAAATACAGTGCTCTATAATCAGCCTAATTATTTAAAGGAAGCAGTAAACCCATTGGCAGTGAAAAGAGTATGGGAGAGTGTCCGTGTTTTTGGAGACTAGCAAGTAGCATCCTAGGGAACGTGTGTGCCTTTGAGCAGACAGACCAGTCGGAGGCCCATATGCTCATTCTGAGAAGGGGTTGTTTCTGAATGAGACCTATATGAGGGAGGACAGAGGTGAAGAATTAGGATTTATTTTTTGTGTGAACTTTACAGATTCTGAAGTAGATATTTTCATGTGGATTGCCTTGTCCCCAGTTAGCCAAATTGAGGAAGTAATGCTATATTTTATTCAGTGGAGCAAATTACAATCATGCCTTATAATTTTTTTACAAGTCATTTGATTACTTACTATAAAAGTCTATTCCCCCAAAGCACTGACTTGTCCTACCAATCTTTTATCTTTGACAAGTTGGTAGGCCTTTTTAATCTTAAATAATACTTTGAGATACCTCCTATTAAAAAATTATTGAAGCTTTCTAAGACTTTGTAAATTCAGAATTAAATGAAGTCTTTATCTTTATTATCCCCCTTTTTAGTTAATTCATATTATGCTCATCAGAGTAAGTATGGTCATAATATCTACCTTTTAAGTATATTACTCTTTGATTTATTAGCCAGTTTGGCTGGTGGTGCTCCTGAAGTTATTAGTAACCCCTATGAACCAGTTTGGTCTCTGTCCCAAACTTCTCCATCATTTAACCATCTCAGAAATAAATGCAAAGTTACAAAGTTAACCAAAAACATATGAAGGAATGCAAATACATTATCCCTGAAGGAAAATCAATTTCACATGTAAACAAGCTACAGTCACTTAAAGATTTCTTCATTTTTATGTTTTCAAGGACTTAAAAAAATTTTTTTGTTAACATTTTAAAAGTATGTATGGCATGACAACTACCTAAAGAGAAGACCAGGTTTCTTTCCGCCTCTAAGTGTATGAGATTGATACTACAGGCACCTAAAGAAGAGCTCATTTTTCTTTCCTAGTTCCGTGTTGGCCTGTTTTAACAGAATGGGGTTATGTTTGTTGTAAGATACGTGTAACCTAATGTTAGCTTTGTGGTCTCAGTGTTATCTCTCAAGCGGGTGCCTAAGTAGACCAAATGTTTTGTTGCTAAAGTGTTCTGAGATACATGGTTCAGACAACTTTCATCCCCTCGGATCTACTTTTTAAGCCGAGCATCCCTGTCGTTGTCAACTGCATTTACAGCCTCTAGAAATTAGTATGATAAGCTGACCAGCCTGATGGGAGTAATTACCCATAGGGCCTGGCTCCAAAGAAAAGGAGTTTAGTGAGCCGACTTAGGCATGTTGTAAAGCCATTTGAAAGTAACTCAAAGCAAGTTTTGTGAATAGAAATGTGCTCCAGGCACATTGTGCTTTAAAAGGTTGTGGCAAACACAGACAAATTTTAAAAAAAGATTTCTTCATGTCAATCTTGAAAACCTGTAGCATTAATCTACCAGTATTCTAAATAAATAAGTCTTCATAAAATCACTATTAATTTATACTATTTGTTAGGATATGTTAATAAAATCAATCTTGTTGAATCTCAACTACTTACAAGAAAATTCTTGCTACTAAGTTTTACCTTTAAGTTTGTTATAGTCAGTTTACTAATTAATTTTCAAAAATATAATTTATTTGAACTCTAGCATATGTAAAATAAAGGTAATGTCTGTCCTTGAGTTTTCTGTTCTCACTATTTATATATCTGATGAATTTTTTCCCTAAACTACCACTAAGAATACTGTATCATTGAAGTTGAAAATGATTTCCAATTTTTGGAAAAGACAAGTTTTATATGATATTCCAAAGTTCTAAACACCACATATCACAAGAATCTCATTAAAATACAAATATTAAGTGCAAAGAAATATAATTCTTTATAGCCCTTCTCTTTCTAGATATCAGAACCTCTTTAAGAATGTTGTGTTATTGCCCTGGCTGGTGTGGTTCAGTTGGTTAGGTATCATCTCATGCCATGAAAGGTTGCTGCTAGGCAGGGCACGTGCCCAGGTTACAGACTTAGTCCCAGTAGGGGGTGTGCAGGAGGCAGGTGTTCGATGTTTTGCTCTCTTTTCATGTCTCTCTCCCTCTCCCTGTCCCTTTCTTGCTCTAAAAAAAAAAAAAAAATCAGTTAAAAAAATTTTGTACTACTCTCCTTTTTAAATTATTTGGTATTTTATATCTCTCAGTGGATGTTAAACTGTATTGATTTGCAAAAGCTCCTGATAATCTGAACATTTATTTATTCTTAATTAAAACATAAGTGAGTCCATTGAAGAAGTAGCTTAAATTTTTTTCTAAAGGTAGCTTATATATTATATTTTAGTTTAATGAATATCCAGCATTCATCCCCCACATTCTCTCATGCTATAACATTAAATGTTTGAAAAGTGTTTTTAAATAGATTTCAGAGAGGAAGGGAGAAAGAGAGAAATTTCAATGATGAGAGAGAATCATTGAAGAGCTGCTCCCTGCATGCGCCAATATTGGGGATTGAGCCCAAGAAATCAAACCATGACCCCGTGGTTCATAGGTTAATGCTCAACCACTGACCCATGTTGGCCAGGCTGTAACATTCAATTTAAATCTGTCACTTAAAATTTATTTTCCCTACCTATTTACAGCTGCTGTTTTTATTTTTAAGGAATGGTCGTTGGAGGTCAGAGTGGAAGTTTACAATCACTCCTTCAACCACTCAAGTGGTTGGCATCTTGAAAATTCAGGTATGAAATAAAAAGACTTTGTTTAGTGATCTCTGAATAGAAAAACAATGATTCATAAGTTTACATTTTTATAATATAAAATAACCCATTTCTTCTTCAGATCCTTATGTTGAGGAAATTGGAAAAACAAGTAGTGCTGATTTCATCTTTTAAATAATGTTATAATGCATTCTCTGTAGTCATCAAGAATTTGCAAGGATAACTGACAGATTCTCAAAACACAGTTAAAATTAAGTGCTATCACTCAGTCTGTTCTTTAAATAATTTGCTCATATAAGCATCTTTTTATTTTGCTGAATTGCTGGACCTTTTGCCATTTCGTAATCTATTTTTCACACTGCCATCAAAAGAGATGATTTTTGAAATTTAAATCTGGATATGTTGCTTGCTTGCTTACAAACATTTTAGCAGTATACTCTCATCTACTAGACAGTCTAGACATTTTTATGTAGCATTCCAGGCCCAAAGTTGACTTGTTCACTACTTATATATATCTCTCCAGCCACTCCTCTTTCTCCATGACTTCACACAAAATCTATCCATAAGTACCTCCAACCCCTCCTACATACTAGGTGTACCGGTTAATCAGATTTTTTTTCAATAGATGGAGTTACACATATGTTAATATATATGCAATTTGATGTGTATGCTATTTTGTTGTATTGACAACAAGCTTCAAAACTTTATATGTCAAATTTGCTGAAGGTGTTAACATCATAGATATTTTTACACTTAAAAATGTCGAATTTCGTGCCAAAAAAATAACATTTGCGGGAAGTTTTAATTCATTATTTTCAAGAAAAGTGCTGCTGAATACTTTGGGAAGCTTATGGTGAACATGCTCCATCTCAAGATACTTGTGAACACTGGCTTAAACACTTTAAAAATGATGATTTCGATGATTTTGAAAGACAAAGGCGTCCAGGTAAACCAAAAAAGTTGGAAGACCAACAGTTACAAGCATTATTGGATGAACATGCATGTCAAACTCAGAAATAACTTGCAGAAAGATTAAACATTGCTCAACAAATAATTACCAATCATTTACAAGCAATGGAAAAGATTTTAAAGGAAGGAAAATGGGTGCCACATCAACTGAACAAAAGACAAATGGAAAACTGAAAAGTCATCAGTAAAATGTTGCTTCAACGGCACAAAAGAAAGTCTTCTTTTTGTGACTGGCTATGAAAAGTGGGTTTATTTTGAAAATCCCAAACACACAAAATCATGAGTTGATCCAGGTCAACCATCAACATGGACTGCAAGGCCAGATTGCTACATAAAGAAGACAGTGCTCTGTGTTTGGTGGGATCAGGAAAGTGTGGTGTATTATGAGCTTCTAAAACCAGGTGAAACCGTTAATACTGATTGCTACTGACAACAAATAATCAATTTGAACCACGCTTTGATCGTGAAACGACCAGATTGTGCCAGAAGACACAGCAAAATAATTTTGCTTCATGAAGACGCACCATCACACACTTCAAAACGAGTTAAAGACACATTGAAAGATCTTGCCTGGAAAGTATTAACCCACCCACTGTATTCACCAGATCTTGCTCCTTCAGATTACCACTTGTTCCGGTTGATGGCACACACACTTTCTGAGCAGCACTTCAAAACATTTGAAGAAGTGGAAAATTTAAAGCACTTTTGATGTTTCTCTTGAAATTAACATGTTTTTTTTTTATTACAAAATCTGCTATTATTAACCAGTACACCTAGTAAAGTATGCTGTTCTCTAAGCTCGGTTTCCTTATTTTTCCTGATTTGTCAGTCATTTTGCTAAACCCTAGTGCAGTGTTACCTTTTTCTGAAATCCTTTTTTTTTCTTTTTTCTTTTTTTTCTTAATGCTTAGAGAGAATCTGGAGTATTACTAATTTACTTTTTACATACGTGATATGTTGTGTTAAAATCTGAGGTCAGGGACTATTTTTTTTTTTAAAGCTATGTGTCCCTAGAACCTTCTTAATAGGTACATATAGTAATCACTAATTAATGTTTTGTTAATAAACTAATGTCTTTGAATTTGAGGAATTACATGATTGATAGAAATTCACACAAGAGGAGCGATGTTGGGGGGTAGTATTGTGAGCTCACTTTTGGAAACCTTGAGTTTAGCTATCAGTAGAATATTCATGAGGTAAAAATGTCCAGAAGTCAGATCAGTGGACGGCTTGCCTGAGGGATTGCAGGAACTGCTAACTAGTTTTCCCGCTAGACTGAGGTCAGGAAGTGTTGCTAGGGTTTGAAAAGTCAGGATTTCGCCGGAGAAGTTTAGGTTACAGCTTAAATTGATAGTCACGTACAATGATGTGATTGTCAAAGTCGTGAGGATCATGATTGTTCCTGCCTATAATATGTTTCTGCAATTTCTTTTTTTTATAGGTTCATTATTATGAAGATGGTAATGTTCAGCTAGTGAGTCATAAAGACATACAAGATTCCCTAACAGTGTCTGTAAGTAATTAATTCTAAAATAAAATGTAAAAATCCTAATCCTTTGTAAAACTAGAACAGTTTTGGAAGTACCATTCAAGCAATATTTCTGCTTAGATTAAAGTGTTTTCAGGTAGATTAAAGATGGTAAATAATGGACATTAGTCCCTAACTCTTTTTAGCAGCTTTATTGAGATACAATTCACATGCCATTCACCCTGATAGAGTATAAATTTCAGTGTTTTTTAGTATGTTAACAGGATTGTATAATAATCAACACAAATTTAGAACATTTTTGTCCTCTAAAAATCCAGCACCCATTATCAATCACTCTCCATCCCCCTTCGGGGGCTACATAACCATGAATCTGATTTTCTGACTATGGATTTACGTATTCTTGACCTGTCAAATAAATGGAATCCTATAATATCTGGTCTTTTATGACTGGCTTTTTTCACTTAGCATGTTTTCAGGATTCATTCACGTTGGAGCAAATATTAATATTTTGTCCCTTTTCATTGCCAAGTAATATTTCATATACCACATTTTATTCTCTTACTAGTTGCTGAACATTTGTGTTGTTTTCTACTTTTTGCTGCTATGACCTTTTGTGTAAAATTTTTGTGCAGACATTTGTTAGAATTTCTCTTTGATATATATGTGGCAGTGGAATTGCAGGGTCATAGGGGATTAACCTTTTGAAAAACTGCCAGGCTGTTTCCACAGTGGTGCATTATTTTACATTTCCATCAGTCATATATGAGGATTCCAATTTTTCCACATCCTCGCCAAAATTTATGTCTGTCCTTTTGGTTATAGCCATCTTAGTTAGTATGAAATGGTATCTTGTGGTTTTTATTTACATATTCCTGATGGATAATGATGATGAGCATCTTTTCATATATTTATTGGTCATTTATGTATTAACCCTTTGCACTCCGAACCATTCTGGACATTGGCTACCAGCTACTCGACGCTACTTTGCGGTGGACACGTGCATTGAATTAACTCAATTCCCTGTAATCACTAATAAACTGCAATGTCCCCCCTGAGAGGGGACATCCGAGTGATATGCTAGAATTCCGATGTCCCCTGAGAGGGGACAGCAGAGTGCAAAGGGTTAAAAATATCCATTCAGATTTTTAATTGGTTATTTGTGTTTTATTGTTAAGTTGTAGATTATATATTCTGGATACAAATCTTGCATCAGAAATATGATTTGCAAATTTTACCTCCCATTCTATGTATTTTTTCATTTTCTTGATAGTATCATCTGCAGAACAGAATATTTCGTTTTGTTTTGTTTTGTTTTTTGTTTTGTTTTATTAATCCTCACCCAAGGATATATTTTTACCATTGATTTTCAGAGAGAGTAGAAGGAAGAGAGAGAGAGGAAAGGAAAAATAGAGAAACATCCATTAAGAGAGGCACATTGATAGACCTGCAACCAAGGTGCATGCCCTTTACCAGGTATCAAATCCATGACCAGTGCGCTAACTCCATGGACCAGTGTGCTAACCGTGGAGCCACACCGGCCTGGGCAAAATTTCAGTTGTTTTTTTTGTTTGTTTGTTTGTTTTCTTTCTTTCTTTCTTTCTTTTTTTTTTTTTTTAATATATTTTATTGATTTTACACAGAGAGGAATTGAGAGGGACAGAGAGTTAGAAATGTCAATGAAAGAGAAACATCGACCAGCTGCCTCTTGCACACCCCCTACTGGGGATGTGCCCGCAACCAAGGTAAATACCCTTGACTGGAATCGAACCTGGGACCTTTCAGTCCGCAGGCTGACGCTCTATCCACTGAGCCAAACCGGTCCTGGCCAAAATTTCAGTTTTGATGTATTTCGATAGTTCGTTAGTTTCTTTTGTTGCTTGTTCTTTGGTCCATTAATAGAAACCATTGCCTAACCCACAGTCATGAAGATTTACCTTGAGTGTTTTTTCTATGAATTTTATAGTTTTAGCTCTTAAATTTACATCTTTGACCCTGTACTTAACCTTTATGTTTGTGTTGTATGCTTTTTTTTTTTTTTTCTCTCTCTATTAGGATTGTAATTTAATGAAGTTTTTTAAAGTTCAGCTTTCAAATTTGAGAAACTTTGAACTTGGTTTTATTTCCCTGAAAAGTTTTTTCACACATTCTTTCCATTGCACATGCATCTATTTCTTTGTGGATTTTCATTGCCCCAAGGATATTAATAATATAACATTACTGTGACATTCTCACAGAGGCATCTGTGTTGTGCTAAGTGGTACTCTTCTTGCAAAATTTGCTAATATCTAGTTCTCCATGAGACATTGTGTTCTGTATAGTCCTATATTATGAACATGCATAAACAGGGTATTTAGTTATTATCTTTTTTGAGGGGCTTGACATTGGTAAAGATCCTTCTTATGAGACATTTGTTGCTCTGTCCAATTTGGATCAGTGGATAGAGTCCAGGGTCGATTCCGGTCAAAGGCACATTTCTCTGTTGCAGGCTCAATCCCTGACCCTGGTGGAGGCTCATGTGGGAGGCAACCCATCAGTGTTTCTATCTCTCCCCCTCCCTTCCATTCTCTCTGAAAATCAATGGAAAAATATCCTCGGGTGAGGATTAACAAAAAAGAGAAAGAGAAATTGTCTACAAAAATTATAGACTGTGGTGTTGTGAGAGATGATTATTATAGTAATTAAAATTAACTACTAATATGTCAATTTGTGCTGAGTTTTTTTTTTAGGAATGTGTTTCTCACTTTATCTTATATGGACTTAGAATAATTCTCTTACAGTATTTTCCCTTTATTACAATTTCTATTGGTTATTAAATTATAACATTTTTAACTATACCTATTTAAAAATAATAGTGGTATAGTTTTAAATTAATATTTTATTCACTTTTGGTTTTGTTTTTATTCAGAATGAGGTGCAAACAGCAAAGGAATTTATAAAGATTGTAGAAGCTGCAGAAAATGAATACCAGGTATGATCTTCAAAATTCTTTTATCTATATTATAAATAACAGCACTGAAAATTTTAATTTTAGTCATAAGCCTGAATTTTTTTCAGTATTTCACTGTAGTAAGATGTAGTCTTTTTTGTGTGTTTTTTGTTTGTTTTTACTTCAAGGGCAAACTTGTTAAGTGTAGCAAAACTCGAGTATTATTCAGAATTTCCAAGGTTTTAAATGATTGTTTCTGATTGGAAATTTTTATTTAGGAAATGTTTCCCAAAGCATTTGGATTATGTATTTTATTTTGTTTTTGTTTTTTACATTGAACATAAACATTTAATTTGTGGATTGGACAAGTTTTCATTCCTTATAAATAGTAATTTATGAAATTGTTCTGAGTGAATAATAGTAAAATAGATCCAAAGTTAGAATGCTCAAATGTTAACTCATTTATACACTTAATCGTAGCCAAAAGGTCGAAAGCGATGTGTTAACTCATTTATAATTTCATTTCATTTGATTTAATTATTCAAAATGATGAGCATTTTCTTTTAGCTGCTTTTAAACAGCTTTTTAAAACATATTGAGATTTTGACTTTTAAAAGCAATGAAGCAGGCTGCTATAACAATGGTTTTTCCTAAAACACATATGTATTTTATAAATTGTTCTGTTCCTTTAATTTCTTTAACCTTTAACCACTTTTTTTCATAGACTGCCATCAGTGAGAATTATCAGACAATGTCGGACACAACTTTCAAAGCCTTACGTCGACAGTTGCCAGTTACACGCACTAAAATTGATTGGAACAAGATCCTCAGCTACAAGATTGGCAAAGAAATGCAGAATGCATAAGATGAACATTGCATGATCGGATCATTTTAGTGTCTTTGTGTTTTTTAAAAAATTATTGCAAAATTATTCAGAATGATCAAGCTACCCAGCCAGGTGGGCTGTTGCCATTTAAAGATCACTGTAATTAGTTTGGTTAGAGCACAAAGCTTAGCTAATCAGCCATTATTTTTAATTTCTTTTCTTCAAAGAGGATTGAAAATAAGTTTAGTTTAAATGTCTTTCACTTTCTGTTACGCCTTTCTTACAATGAAAAGATGACTCCTCTAGTTTAATATTAAAAGTTTTTGAAGTGTTTCAAAAATATTTTAATTACCATAACCCTAAAATTATTGTCTTTTGGTTTATGAAGTGTGTAACTTTTGATATTTGCCAGTTATTTTTAAAGGGGTCAGTAATGGTGGTTGATGGATTTAGCCATATATGCTGCTAAAGAAATTGTCTACCTTTTCCCCCTCACCTCTTCCCATTATGTAAGATTGAGATTAGAGGGAAAGCATTTTCTATACCAATTGTGTTTAAAGCTTTCAAGAAGGTTATTTAGCTAGCTTTTAGTGTTTGACTAAACTTTTTTTAAACAAGGCCAAGGTCTAATGCTGTTTTGAGATTCTAAAATTAAATGAAAAACTTATTTCAGAATGCATATTATGCTTTTTTCTCGTGAGTTATGCAAATTAGCTTGAATTCCATATGTTCTCGAGTTATTTTTATCATGAAGCCACAAATGTATTATAACAAGGCAAATTGTAATATATATATAATCCTGAACTATGACCATGTCTCAGTTGATTTTTTTTTCTTGGATTGAAAAGTGCTGAAATTCCATGTGACATTAAGATGAAAATTTTCTTATTTATTTGAGTAGAAAATCACTTACCAGTGAGCCATATGTTATTTTAAAATACTTTCTTTAAAAATTGTGATTCTTAACTGGTTGTAAATTAGAAAAGCTGGGAGTACATAAGGTGTGCAGTCACAGTCTAAATTTTTCCATCTTCCTGTGCATCATATGCATGTTTATAATATTTTTAAAAATACAATTACTGATGCTACAGGGATTCCAAGCCTGTGGTGAATGTTAGTATTTAATATAGGGAATGGATTGGACTATGGTTTCTTCAATCAAGTACCGCTTATTATACTCCAGTGGAAATCTTTCCTCACATACTCCTGCAAATGTCTGGGCCTGGAAATGTTTTTTAAAAAAATACCACTTTTATTATGCACAATAAAATATTTCATTAGCTTGAGTTGTATAGATTTTTAAAATTTTCTTAATGAAAGCATATTGTTTAATTTCTTTTTAAAAATCACTGTTGGGCATTGAAAATATGCAATTTTGACATTTTTAGTTAAATAGTTTTCTCTATTTTTAAAATACAAGTTTTGTCATATTGGGATTCCTTAAGAAAATGAATTGGCAAATTTAAGACATTTTCAACAGTCTGATGATGATTCTGAAGTAAATACTAGATTAATCTTTAAAGATTTTTAAATAATTTTTAAAAATTATTTTATTACAAGATAACAGGCATGCAATAATTATTTTGTTTACAAGAGGTACAGCTAAAAGCACAAACAACTTTTGCCAGTAAGCTTGAAAATTCAAAGGCAGAACCAAATAATACATTTTTAATAAATGTAATGTACCTCAGAAGAAACACAAATGTGATTTAGCCAACCTGACTCAAGAAGACTTAAACAGCCATATAACATTTAAATCAAAGTGTTTTCCCTCCTCCCTACCCACTGTCCTCTGTAATGGTGGGTAAATAATAAAAAGGGTAGGGGTGGCCAATCGGGCAGGGCCAGCCAGGGGAGGAGGGGAACAGACGATTGAGCTAGCCCCACCCCCTGGTCAAACTCTGGGTCAAGGGGACAATTTGCATATTAGGCTTTTATTATATAGGATAATCAACACATGCAGAGAAAACTGAGTACTAATCACAGTTCCTAGTCGGGGGAAGAAGGGAAGGGAGGAAAGAATGAGGAGAAAGGGAAAGGGAGGAAGAGAGGAAGGAAATCATGGACCTACATCCCTCATGAACACAGATGCAAAATGGTGGGGAAAATATTAGCAAATGAAGCACTATATAAAAAAAATTCATCATGACCAAGTGAAGCTTATTTTAGGAATGCAAGATGATTTAACATTCAAAGCATCATATTAACAATACAGGGATGAAAAGCCACATGGTCATATTAATTAGAGAAAAAAGATTTGACAAAATTCTCAATTTAGAAATATAAAGAGCATCCAGAAAACACCTAGCGTTTCATATTACATTTAGTGATAAAATGACAAACACTTTGTCATAATATCAGAAACAAAGCAAGAACATCTACTCTCACCATTTCTATTCGACATTATCCTGGAGGTCCTAGATAATGAAGTAAGACAAGAACCAAAGTTTTGTTCACCAGCTTTCTCTGTTGGTTCTTAGGTGGCACAACGTCTCTGGGGAGGCCTGCATGGCGGTTTTGCGAAGACCTCTCTGGGTCCCCGGGCAGCAGCTGCTGCCGGAGCCACTAGTGCTGCTGCTACTGTTGCCATTGCCGCCCTTGGCTTCGCGCTCACCGCTGGAGCAGGCAAGGGATGTTGGACTCCCTCGATGCATAGGGAAATTGGGGGGAGGAGGAGTGCCGCTGATGGCAGCAAGCACTGCAGTGCTGTATGGCTGGCTCTGGTAGCAGACCTTGTGCCTCAGCACCTTCCGCCACATCTCCGAGGGCTTTCGATCGCGTGCAGGGTGCATCCGGGCCTTTCCAGCAGCGAACCTAAGACTGAAAGATTTTTTTAACTATGTTTTTATTAATTTTTTTGAGAGAGGGAAACGGAGAAGAAGAGGGAGAGAAGCATTGATCAGCTGCCTTCTGCACACACCATACAGGGGAATGAGCCTGCAACCCGGGCATGTGTCCAGACTGGGAATTAACCAGCAACCTCTTGATGCATGGGTCCACACTCAACCACTGTGCCACGGGGGCCGGGAGTCTGAGTATTTGATTAGCTCAGCTGTATCAATTGGGCTCTTGTGGGTTTGTATCCCCTAAAAGGTTGATAGCTTTGGCTCTGTCTTATGACCTCGAATGCTTTCTTAAAAATACATATGACTTTTTAAGGTGGTGTGCATGTGAAAGGAAATATTTGTCAAAAGAATTCAGAACATAGTGTGAAATAATGGTTGTGCAATAAAGTAGTTTTCTATGGTCTAAAATTAGCATTTTATTACTGCAAAATGGGAATCCAGCATAACCAAAAGCTGCTGGGATAGTTTTACTAGGATCCATTAAGTCTGTGAATCGGCTGAAATGTGGAGAGAAGAGCAAAATCAGCGAGAACAATTAGGAGGCTGGCTCAGTAATGCAGTTGAGAGAATGCTGGTTTGGTGATAACTAGGCTGAGACTTCAAAAGATGGCTTGTGGAATGTGAGATAAAAAGAATGCCTAGGATATAGGAGTTGAAAATTGGGGAAGGTTTGGGTGGGAAGGGCTGGTCAGGAGCTGAGTTATAGGTTTCAGTGGGAAATACCGGTAGCAATTGCATACTAGAGACTGAAGGACTCCTCAAGGTTAGTGATAATGAATTTAAAGTGAGACTAGTGAATATGGCTCTTGCTTTTTCTTCAGCCATGTAAAGTTATATGGGTGTGGGTATAGAATGGATAAATTGAATTTAACCAAAGTTGTGGTTTTGCTAAGAAAGTATGACTCACAAGGAAAAGGAGGCAAGGTTATAATAGTATTCTGTGGAATTTAAAGCAGGTAAGCAGGAAAGTGAGGACTTGATGGAGAAGGAAAGGTAATGGGAATTGTGTCACGATCAATGGATTGTTGGCTTAAGAAATATACAAACCTGTAAAAAAAAATTTAGGTTTTATTTGAGCTAAACTGACAATAGTTGCTGGGAAGCAAGATCTAAAATGCTCCAGAGAATGACAGTTTGCAGTTATTTGTATGCATTAGAGATAAAGGGAGGGAATTTAAAGGCGATTACAAGTAGGTGGAAGAAAGCAAGGCAGGGTTAGATTACGGGATAGTTAAGATTATGTGCTCTCTTGGGAGCAGTTATTATTTCTAGCATTTCAGAGGTGTGTTAACCCAGATGCACAAGAAAAACGGACAGGGCTGGCTTAAAAAACCTTTCACTAAAGTTATAGGCCTGGGGTGTGACCACCCACCATGACCTTGCCCAGTTAGGAATTTATGACTTATTACAGGTCCCCTTTTTTGTCCATGGCATATCTTGAAAAAAACGGTCTAGCCGAAGCCGGTTTGGCTCAGTGGTAGAGCGTCGGTGTGCGGATTGAAAGGTCCCAGGTTCGATTCCGGTCAAGGGCATGTACATTGATTGCGGGCACCAGTAGGGGTGTGCAGGAGGCAGCTGATAGATGTTTCTCTCTCACTGATGTTTCTAACTCTCTATCCCTCTCCCTTCCTCTCAGTAAAAAGTCAATAAAAATATCATTGATCAGTTGCCTCCTGCGTACCCCCTACTGGGGACCGACCATGCAACCCCCGGCCTGTACCCTTGACTGGAATCCAGCCCAGGACCCTTTAGTTCCCAGGCTGATGCTCTATCCACTGAGCAAACCAGCTGCCCCCCACTTCTTTCCAATCTCTGCTTTGTTTCCTCAGTGCTCCTTAGACAAATATGTCCAATCAGCTCCACTCCTCTTGTTTTTTCAAGCTGACCATGCTGTATTTTAATGTAAATCCAGCTCGTGGCTGGGAGCAAGGGCATATACCTTGGTTGTAGGTACATCCCCAGTAGGGGGTGTGCAGGAGGCAGCTGATCGATGTTTCTCTCTCATCGATGTTTCTAGCTCTCTCTCCCTCTCCCTTCCTCTCTGTAAAAAATCAATAAAAATATTTTTAAAAGAAAGAAAGAGAGAGAGAGAGAGAGAGAGAGAGAGAGAGAGAGAGAGAGAGAGAGAGAGAGAGGGAGGGGGAGGGAGGGAGGGAGGGAGGGAGGAGAGGGAGGAGGAAGGAAGGAAGGAAGGAAGGAAGGAAGGAAGGAAGGAAGGAAGGAAGGAAGGAAGGAAGGAAAGGAAAGGAAAAACAGTTTGTTTCTGGGGGACTATGTGAGCGTGAGAAAGATCATGTTTCTGAATACTAAAAAAAAAAAAAAAAAAAAAGGGAAAGGAAAAGCGGTTTTTGTTTCTGGGGACTATTTGCAGTTTATTTCCGGGGGGCTGTGTGGGTGTGAGGGAGACCATGTTTCTGACATCGTCAGCAGAGAAGCGGCTCGCGGGGCAGCTCCTGAGAGGAGCCAGCAGGTGCCCCCGTTCTCACTTCGGCTGATGACAGCTCCAGACGCCCGGGAAGGTGGACTGAGGCCCCAGGTTCGGTCCACCTCAGGGAACCCTGGGCTTGTTGGGTGTGACCTGGCGGTTACTCGGAGGAAGGTCACTGCTGATACCAGGGCAGAGACTTCATAGTTAGCATCTAAGGGAGAGTCCTTATGGCGTGGACATACACATGTGTTTCTCTCTTCTTTTAAATGTAGAAATATTTAGTAATAAATTAGGGTATGCCCACTAACCCTTGCAGAACATTTTGGGCCTATTCAAGCCAGTAGAACATTGTTTCTTAACAATGTTTGAAGTTAGGGAGTCATATGAAAATCTGAAAAGAGCTAGGATGTGTCTTCTCAGAAAAATGCATATGGGCCTGCACGTTCATACCTACCAATCTCCACACACACACTTCGTACAGTTTAAGGGCATTCATGGCCCTTATAATCTAGTGCCTCCTGATCTGGGTAATGCTTAGGCATATTTTAAATATGTTTTTAAAAATAGATTTTTATTTATATCAGAGAGGAAGGGAGAGGGAGAGAGAATCGTCGATCGACTGCCTCCTGCACTCCCCACACTGAGGATCCAGCCCATAACCCGGGCATGTGCCCTGACCAGGAATTGAACTATGACCTCCTGGTTCATAGGTGGACGGATACTCCACCACTGAGCCACGCCGGCCAGGCTAGAAATATTTTATAGAAAAAATATTTTATAGAATCTGGCTGTTGGGGTTGAGTCGTATTGGTGGGGTTTTTTTTAAATCAGAATTTATTTACTTTATGAACTATTCTCCAACTCCTTCCAGGGCCAGATGCAGTGTTAGGCGCATGGGAGGGTGCTGTGGATCTGACAGTGAAGTGCCCACCTCCAGTGTGACCGTGGGAGCTGTGACCCACTCCACCACCCATTAACCTTGTTCTTTTGTAAATGATGACTGTGCCTTGGTTTCAGGAGCAGGCTACCTTGTTTGGAAAGGGGTTAGCTGTTTTGACATCATGGAGGGACTTTTTTACAGACCCCGGGAAACTGAAGAGCATGTCAAGGAGGAGAACAGGCCCTCGAGATCAGGCAGCCAGAGCCCTGAGCGAGGGCAGGCCCGCCTGCAGGGAGACGGTGTTAGGGGCTGATCTTCGCAAGCGAGCGAAGGCAGACCCTGGGAACTCACTAACTTTAGATATTCTCCCCCACCCACTAATCTTGCATAAACATTTGTTAGAAATGAAATGGCAGAGCAGTTTTCCAAAGTGCTAATACCTGCTGCTCTCTGATTGCTAGCTATCTGAATGATAAACACCCATAAAAAATTCAACGTTGTCTCTGCTTATTGACTTGGCAACCCGCCGCTGTCTGGTTTCACCAGGAGAAAGCCAGGCCCTGAGCAAGTCAACAAGAAAATGCCAGAGAGCAAGCGGTAAGTGTATGAATGAAACAAAACAGGGGAAAGTCTGCAAGCCTACCTTTTTAAAAAAGCAGCCTTTCCGCACAAGCCTGCTCTGTATCGGCTTATAGAAGCAGCTGAGCATGGGATCTTCCTTTCCTCTGTGCTTCCTCCCTGTGCTCAGGCATCTACACACAGTGGGTCCTCGGGTTACATCGGAGATCTGTTCCTACGATGCGATGTGACGTGATTTTTGCCGTAGGTCGGAACCCACCTACGTAAACACCTATGTCACTCACATGGAGCACATACACAGCAGTAATGAAATTTAATGAAGCAGTAAAAAAATTTAAGAGAAAAATAACAACTCCTGACCTTTACTTGTGGTAAATAAATAATAAACAACATAAAGCACATATGTATGTACATACGTCAAAAATGACAGGGCTTTTTATTTTTATAAATAAATGGGAGGTGGTAATGTAACCACAAAAAGATGTACGTCCAACGTAACCCGAGGACTGCCTGTATATAAAGGCCTAAGCGACTGGAATGACCACAACGACCGGTAACTATGACATGCATTGACCACCAGGGGGCAGTCACTCAACACAGGAGCTGCCCACTGATGGTCAGTGCACTCCCATAGCCAACCTCTCTCTGCTGGCCAACCTTCCACAGACCCTCCTCGTGGCCAGCAGGCCCCAATCTGCCCACCTTGCTGTGAGGGAGGGAAGGAGGAGGGGGGGAGGCAGGGAACTGTGTGGTGGTGGGGCACCAACAATGGCAACGTCATCATCTGGCATCCGTTCCTCTGTGCCTGGCCCAGCTACCATCGCCTCCTCTCCAGCCTGGCCTTGATCAGCCTGGCTCCCACTGGCCCTGATGGCTGGGCAGGCCTAGGAACCCCACCCGTGCATGAATTTTGTGCCCTGGGCCTCTAGTCATTAATAAATCCACAAATGCAAGTATTGGTGAGGATGGGGAGAAAAGGGAATCCTGTGTATTGTTGGTGGGAATGCAAAGTAGTACAACCACTATGGAAAACAGTATGGAGGTTCCTCAAATAATTAAAAGTGGAACTGTTTTATGACCCAGGGATTCCATTTCTGGGTATATATATCTAAAGAAACCCAAAACACTAACTTGAAAGAATATTATACCCTTACGTTCACTGCAGCATTAGTTACAATAGCCAAGATACAGAAGCACCCCAGGTGCTCAAAAATAGAAACCTGAATATAAAAGTGGAGGCATATATATATATATATATACAATGAAATCTTACTTGGCCATAAAAAGTAAAATCTTACCATTTGCGACAATATGGATAGACATGAAGGGTATTATGCTCAGTGAAATAACTCAGAGAAAGACAAATACTGTATGTTATCATTTATATGTGGAATCTAAAGAGTAAAACAAACAAAATTGAAGCAGACTCATAGATACAGAGACCAGACAGATGGTTTCAGAGAGCTGGGGGGCGGGTTGAAAAGGGTGAAGGGGAGGCAGGAAAGGTAGAACAGGGAACAACAGCCTCATGCTCTACCACTCCCCCTTTCCATCTTGGCTGGCACATTGCAGATGTGACCTCCGCTGACCACCTGTTCCCCATTTCCAACCCCACCCCCAATTTCCTGTAATTGAGAGGACCAAAAAATAAAAGTAAAAGAAATTGCGATCTGGTGAGGAGGTGTTACAGGCGCCCACAGCCCCGGAAGGTTACAGGACAGTCCCCGGAGCCGGAAGGAGAGGGCTGTTCCCAGCCTCGATTCTTGTCTTCTCGTATAAATGAATTTAAATTAGAGACCGTGGCTGCATTGTTTTTTTTTTGTTTTTTTTTTAAATATATTTTATTGATTTTGCACAGAGAGGAAGGGAGAGAGATAGAGAGTTAGAAACATCGATGAGAGAGAGTCATCGATCAGCTGCCTCTTGCACACCCCCTACTGGAGATATGCCCGCAACCAAGGTACATGCCCTTGACCGGAATTGAACTCGGGACCCTTCAGTCCCCAAGCCGACGCTCTATCCATTGAGCCAAACCGTTCTTGGCAGAGTCAAACCGTTCTTGGCCCGTGGCTGCATTGTGATAAAACCAATTTAAAAATATATTTTTATTGATTTTTTACAGAGAGGAAGGGAGAGAGATAGAGAGCCAGAAACGTCGATGAGAGAGAAACATCAACCAGCTGCCTCTTGCACACCCTCTACTGGGGATGTGCCCGCAACCGATGTACATGCCCCTGACCGGAATCGAACCCGGGACCTTTCAGTCCGCAGACTGACGCTCTACCACTGAGCCAAACCGGTTTCGGCTGATAAAACCAATTTATTTACTTAAAAAAATTTTGTTTTGTTAATCCCCACCTGAGGATATTTTCTCCATTGATTTTTAGAGAGTGTGGAAGGGACGGGGAGAGACAGCGAGAGAGAAACATTGATTGGGAAAGAGACACATCAATTGGTTGCCTCCAGCACTCGTACTGATCTGGGATCAAGCTGCGGAGAGAGCCTGCAACAGAGATATATCCTGTGACCGAAATCAAACCCGGGGACGTTCAGTCTGTGGGCTGATGCTCCGACCATGGAGACAAACCGGCTAGGGCCAAAGCCCATTCATTAAAACAATTAAAGCACGTTTATTAAAGAAGCAAGGAAAGCAAACCCAAACACCTAGCCTATGAAATGCACATGGGCTCTCAACTAATCTGAGGAGCAAATGCTAAGGGGGTTTGAGGAATTATTATACAATACATACCCTCCTGTCTATAGGCTTCAAACATCCTCTGCTGAATACCTAGGTACAGATTATTCTCAAAGTTTCTCTTTACTTTGGTGCGGGCTCCCAGAATTCATGAGAAGCACCTGGCAACTTTATCTTGCCAAGCCTTGAATCTGCTGCCTTCTCTGGTAGGAAAGAAAAAAAAATAATTTTTTATCCTTTCCCCTTCCCCAAAACAGCTTATGTCTTTGTTTAAGTGGATGAGAAAGACTCCCCTCCTACTCTCCCTCTTCTCTTTCTGAATTCTCTCATTAGGAAGGCTTTTAGCCATTGCTCTCAAGTGCCCCTGGTTTGGGGAAGACAATGAATGTTATTTACAAGCCAGTTGCACATTGCCCACACTGTTTGGCCTTGTTTTAATGCTCTTATCTCAGTTTCCCTGTTCCTCTTGCCCTGGAATTTTCCTAACTTTTCACGCCCTGTAACAGAGTGACGGGATGAGCCTTGCCAGCAGGCACCTCAGCAGGACTGGAAGCCGAGGACTGCCCTATCCCCTCCCTCCCTGACCACGCTTAATAAGAATCAACACCCGGACACCATCGCTGCTTCTTATTTTCCTAGGCTGCCCTCTCTCACGTCTCGAGTGTGTACTGTCACTTTAAAAAAGCTACCATACTTGGCTAAATGTTTCTGTCATGCTCTCTACTTCCTCCTTGGGCCATGACAAGAACCTGGATCTGGTGGAGGCCTCCCTTGTCTTCCCTGGGCACCACCCAGCATCAAAGAAATAAGAAGTACAGAACGGCAGTCACAAAATAGTTCCAGGATAGTACGGTAGAGCATGGGGAATGTGGTAAGTAATACTGCGATGACTGTGAGCAGTGCCAGGTGGGTACTTGGAATATCAGGGAGGCCACTTTGTAAAGTGTATGATCGTGTGGCCACTACGCTGTATGCCTGAAACTGATAAAAAATAATGTGGAATATAAACCAGTGGTTCCCAACATGGGTACATGCCCCACAGGGGGGCAATTCGAGACTGAGTTATTAACAGTGAATTTTTTGCATTTCTTATGATTCTAGGGGCCTCATTTACAGTATATAAATATTGTGACATACTAATGCATTTCAGTTCATTATGTTTTGAAACTTTATTTGCTATTTTTTCATAACACTTCATATTATTATTTTAACAATTTCTTAGTGATTTCTTCCTCAGTACTTCAACTGTCCTTTTATTCCTTTATTTTTCCCTGTCATGGATGGCATGTTCTTTGGAAGCTTGTTTCGACCAAGTGAATGGCCTTTCAGGCTTCCTCCACGTGAACAGGAGTTCACTTTTTGAATAGTAAGAATTATATGTCACGGGTAGTCATCAGGATTTTAGACATGCTTAGGTGGGGCATGGCCAAATAAAGGTTGGGAACCACTAAAAGCTATCATTGAAAAATGAAATTTAAAAAGGGGGGGAAATTCTCAATGTTACCAATTTGAACATCACTAGAAATTAATCAGGATGTGGCAGAAATTAAGTTGTCAAAGATAATAAAGGCAGCTGCATGGGGGCAGATATCTTGTCTGTCTTGTTCACTACTTTGGCAGACACCCCGATTGCCAATTCAAAATGCTTCCTCCCTCCCCGTCCTTCCTTCTCCCCTCTGTTTACCACCTTTTGTCCTTTCTTCCCTCCCTTCCTTTTGTCCCTAACCGTCCCCAAAGTATGCTGGGAGTGGCAATGTGCTTGGTTTAAATACACACTTACCTCTTTCCTTCCCAACCAGGGTGGCTATGGGAAGAGATGCAAACAGAAGTAGCAGGTGGGGTTTTGGAAATTTTATTTAAGTATTTATTTATTTATTGGTCATCCTTGCACAGGGGCTATGCTAATTTGCTCCATATCGGTCCAGTTTTAATACATGTGCTGCCGAAACGAGCACTGGGAAATGTTCTTTAAAAGAAACACACTCTTCTGATTTGCTCTCTTTGGCCCCTCTTCTTCCGTGGAATGTGGACCTGTTTCCTGGAGCTGTGGGAAAGGAATTATGCGAGAAAAAGAATTCCCCTCCCCACTCCCCATTGGGTTAAACTGCTTTATTTAGATTTCCTGTTATATCAGCTGAACACAGTCTTTTCTTTTAAATTTTTTACTTTATTACTTACTTGAGAGAGAAAGAAGAATGTATTTGTTGTTCTACATACTTTGCATGCATTGGTTCTTGTATGTGCACTGATGGGGGAATGAACCTGCAACATTGACCTATCAGGATGACGTCTAACCAACTGGGCTACCCGGCCAGGGCTGAACAGAGTCTTAAAGAAAATGATGCAATTCCCAGGACCTAAAATGGGGCTGCTATTGAGAGTTCTCAGTAATCACTTGAAGAATGAATGAATCAAATGCAAACGCCCAACTAAAGCCTCGTGGCAATGGATGGCTTGTAGTAGGTATTAGGTAGGCATGAGAAGAGTAGGAATGATGGGCCAGGTGCAGAGGGTCACCAGGGCGGAGAGGCCTGGCGCTTAGCAACAGGGCAAAACCACAAGCTCTTGCATGACCACTCCCTTGAGCATTAACCCCTGGAGATGATTCTCTAACCTCAGCTAGAGGCCCAGAGAAGGAGCAAAATCAGACAACGTGAAGCGACAGCTGACGTTAGGACCACTGCATTGACTGATGACCCCCTGCCCTGGCACTGACCAATCAGTGGAGAAAACAACCCTGAGGGGGCACACCTTGGAAAACCGATTAATATTCTATTGAGATCCTCCCCCTGAGACCTCCAGAGACAAGTCCTTAAGACAGGGACTCTCCGCCTCACTAAGAGAGAAAAGAAAAAGACAGGGACCCTGTGCATGCTCTCTCCCTCTCTCCTGTCCTCCCCCACCCCCCAGCATGCCTGCACCTTTCTTCCTTCTCTTGTCCCTCAAGGCATGTGTCTCTCTTAAGTTCCAAGGGCCCTGCTATTGCCTCTGTAACTCATTTGCTGGCCCATTTATTCTGGTTCACTTCTTCTCCTGTGACTTTCTAAATAAACGTTCTCTTACAGTTTGAGTCTTGCCTCTGAATTCTTTCTTAGCCAGCACTTCCGTACCAATGTTGCTGAACCAAGGTCTAACACCTGGTGCTGTTTTGCTGCCAACAGTTTTAAGGTGATGACAGGAACTGGGGAACTTCTCCACGTCCTGGCGAACAGCTCTCCTGGAGCACAAATCAGCACAGAGTGACACCGCCCCAGAAATTATGCAGTATGAGGCACTGTCCACACGATTCCAAATGCATGTACATCGGTCTTTCATGATTGTCACATAAATGAAAAACCACAATTCAAAAGTTCTTCTAAAGGTTCTTTAAAAACTCACAGATCTCCATGAATATTTTACTTTGAAATATATTGTCCATTCAGCTACCCAATGTCTTTTGATTGGAGCATTTAATCCATTTATACTTGTTATTATTGATACTAATTACCATCTTTGTACTTTATGCTTTTGTTTCTCTCTAAACATATTTATTTTTATTATTACTGCTGTCCCTTGAGAGAATTTCCAGGCCATAGTACACGGGAGGGAGACTGAGGCAGAACCTGACAGACTGTCTGAATTGAGGAGACATTGCTGAGAGTGTGGGGACACCAAGGCAGCTAGTATTCACAGGAGAAACACATCAAGAAAACTGTGGAGGCCTGAGGGGCCTTCTCATATATTTGGCCGGGAGATGCTCAGTGTATGTGTGAGTAAACTATGTAATGCTGGGGAGAAGACCACCCTAAACTAAGGACTGAGGAAGGAATACCCAGTGCTGACACAGAACTAGAATATTGCCATTTCCCTCAGCCAAGCTGGAGAACCTCATGACTCACAGGGCATTGGGTAGATGCTCAGAGGCATCTTTCTTCAGTGATGGGAATAAGTGGCCCTCCACTAAGCACAGTTCTGGTCCCATTTAACAAATCTTAAAAGCAAGACTAAAAGAATTAAGCTGTTTCCAAGTAGCTTAACTATACCCTAGAACAAAGCTCCATAATACAAAAATATCCAACACCCAATGAAGTAAGATTTGCTATGTCTGGCATCCAATAAAAACTTATTAGGCATGCAAAGAAAAAGGAAAAAGTGATCCATAATGAGGGTTAAGATCAATCAATAAAACAGACCTGAAACCACATGTTAGAAGAGCAGATAAGAACTTTAAAACAGCCCTTACCGGTTTGGTTCAGTGGATAGAGCATCGGCCTTCAGACTGAAGGGTCCCAGGTTTGATTTGGTCAAGGGCATGTGCCTTGGTTGCAGGCACCTACCCAGTAGGGAGTGTGCAGGAGGCAGCTGATGGATGTTTCTCTCTCATTGATGTTTCTAACTCTCTATCCCCTTCCCTTCCTCTTTGTAAAAAAATAAAAAAAATAAAAAATAAATAAATAAATAAATAAATAAATAAAATATATTTAAAAAAAGAACTTTAAAACAACTGGATAACTGTACTTCATATGCTGAAAATATTATTTAAAATATGGCATATTTGGTAAATAGACAAATCAAACTTCTAGAGATGAAAACTGTACAGTCTAAAATGAAAAACACCCTGGATCAGACCCGTGGACTTGAAGACATAGCAGCACAAACTACCCAAAATGGAATTAGCACAGCTATGAGATCATTTCCAGAGGCCAAAGGAGATAAGAGAGAGGGAAACAGAAAGAATATTTGAGGAAATAATGGCCAGATATTTTCCAAATTTGACGAAAACTATAAACTCACAGCTCAAAGACTTTTAATACTCTCATAGCCCAAGAAACATGTAGAAAACTATACCCAGGCATGTCATAACCAAATTTCTTAAAACCAGTAAAAAAGAGAAAAATTTAAAAGCAGCCAAAGAACCAAGACCATGTTAAGTATGGGAGAACGAAGATAAGGGTGACATGAGACTTCTTGTTGGAAACGATGCAAATGAAACGTCTGCGGAGAAACATCTTTAAAATATTGAAAGGAAAATCTGTCAGCTCAGTCCAGTCTTTTTCACCATCTGGTTAGCTTAGCTTGTGTTCCTGGCTCCCGTCCATTGCTGGGCTGCAGTATCCAGGCTCCTGCCTGAGCCTGCATTTGGGTGACCACCTGGCTGCGAGGCACATGGTTACTATGGAGAGAACACATGAACGGATGGGGCTGGCGTGGGTTACTGAGCGCAGGAGAGAACTCTCTGTTCTCCCGGGCTCTTATCATCTCAGGCTCCGGAAGGAACAGGTGATTTTTCAAAATAACCAATCAACTTCACAAGCTTTCTTGTGCTTCTGGTGGATCCATCACCCGACCCATTGGTCCCTTTCCCAGGTTAGACTGATAGGCCTGTATCGTCCAGAACCTCCCCCTGCACCATTTTTACTTCTATTGTGCACGTCTCTACCTCCCCTTCTCCTGGGACAACCCTGGGACGTGTGAAGCTGTACTTCCTGGTGAGGCTCCTTCACCCCAGTTTTATGATGTTTAATAATGTCTGCTTCCCTTTGCTTCCCCTCCCTCCCCTTTTAAAAAAATATATTTTATTGATATTTTACAGAGAGGAAGAGAGAGGGATAGAGTTAGAAACATCGATGAGAGAGAACCATCGACCAGCTGCCTCCTGCACACCCCCCACCGGGGATGTGCCCGCAACCAAGGTACATGCCCTTGACTAGAATTGAACCTGGCACCTTTCATTCTGCAGGCCGACGCTCTATCCACTGAGCCAAACCAGTTTCGGCTCCTCCCTTTATTAATATGTTTTTAAAATATATTTTATTGATTTTTTTTTAGAGAGAGGAAGTGAGAAGGATAGAAGGTTAGAAACATCAATGAGAGAGAAACAGCGATCAGCTGCCTCCTGCACACCCTCCACTGGGGATGTGCCCTCAACCAAGGTACATGCCCTTGACTAGAATTGAACCTGGGACCCTTCAGTGCACAGGCTGACACTCTATCCACTGGCCAAACCAGTCAGGGCCCTTTATTAATATCTTGCTGCCTCCCTACACTAACACCATGAGTAATTACCTCACATATGTCCTATTTTTTTTTTAATCTAGGAAGAAAAAATAAAATTATTATTTTAAAATCTTTTTTAAATATATTTTATTGATTTTTTTACAGAGAGAAAGGGAGAGAGATACACATCGATTAGCTGCCTCTTGCAAACCCCCTACTGAGGATGTGCCCGCAACCAAGGTAAGTGCCCTTGACCGGAATCGAACCCAGGACCTTTCAGGCTGCAGGCTGCCGCTCTATCCACTGAGCCAAACCAGTTTTGGCTATAATAAGATCTTTTACAATTCTCATATCGTAGCCCTGGCTGATGTGGCGCAGTTGGTTGGAGCATTGTCCGGTGCACCGGGAGGTTGTGGGTTCATTCCATTCCCTGTCATGGTACATGCCTAGGTTGCAGGTTCAATCTCCAATTGATGTATGTCTCCCACACTGATGTTTCTCTCCCTCCTTCCGTCTCTTCTTCCCTAAAATAAATTGAAAAAGACTATACCATTTTTTTAAAAAATTCTCAAATTTTATACACAGTTTTAACAACTTAAGTAAATAATGTCAAAAAGAAAGTGATCCTAACTTAAGTAAATAATGTCATAAGGATAGCTATCATATTCAAAAAAGGAAAACATTTTTTTGAAGTCACAAACTCTCTCATTTATGCTCAGAAGGGAAATTCAAGGAACATATCACAAGTAATGGTGTGAAAAAATTGCACAGTAAATAGTATTGCATATTTCTCTGCTAATTTGAAATGTACTACCTATGCATGCTGAAGATTTAAAGAGCTTTCTTCTTTTTTTTAAAAAAGTAATCCTTACCTGAGGATATTTTTCCATTGGTTTTTAGGGAGAGTGGAAGGAAGGGGTGGGGGGGGGGGGGGGAGAGAGAGAGAGAGAAATATCAATGTGAGAGAGACACATCGACT